ACGCACGCCCCACGCACGCACGGCCCCACGCACGCACGGCGCCACGCTCGCAAGGACGGACGCACGCATGCACGCACGGCCCCAAGCACGCACGGCTCTACGCGCGCACGGTGCCACGCACGCAGGGTCCCACGCACGCACGGCCCTACGCACGCACGGCGGCACGCCCACACTCACGGCCCCACGCACTCACGGACAGACGCACGCACGCATGCACGCACGGCCCCACGCACGCACGGCCCCACGCACGCACGCATGTACGCCCCTACGCACGCACGGCCCCACGCACACGTGCACGGCCCCACGCACGCACGGCCTACGGCCGGAGTCTGTCTCAGCAGGGGCCGGCCGGCCTGCGTTTCCGGGCCGCAGTGGGCCGGGGAGCCCGCGCACCTGTTCCCAGCATGAGCTTCGAGTTGCGTGAAGAAGGCGCGCAGGGGACCCACGAAGGTCAGGCTGACAAGAGAAAGGCTACGCGCGTGTTTGAGACAAACGTGGCCTGTGGAAGGACCCTGAGGCTGGTGTTTCCGTCAGGGTTGGATGCAGAGCGGAGGGTCGTGAATCGCGTGCTGGGACCGGAGCGCAAGGCCGGGGGCGCGCGGGAGCGCCCTGGGGTGCTGGGTGCTGCTCGCCCGGGTCCCTCTGGCCGTCTCGGCCTCCCTCCGTCTCCGGAGCTGCGGGTGCACCCTTCTTCCGCCGTGGGCGCACCTCTCCGCTGAGGGTCACGACCTGCTTCCGGGGGGTTAGGTCCTGAGTGAGGGCTGAGATGGGGGTGCTGGGAGAGGCGGGAAGGTCGTGGTGATGGCCGAGGACGTGGGGCGCTGTCGGAGGGGTGTGCACCCGGCGGGCGATGGGGACATGGGGTTCCTCCGCCCGCTTCGTGGTTCTCCTTGACACCCCCCGAGCCGTGAACCTCAGCGGCCGCATGGACTCCACCCTGCTGCAGGTGGACCTGGCGGGGGCCCTGGTGGCCGGCAGGCCGAGTCGTCCCGGGAGGGAAGAGCACGTCGTGGTGGAGCTGACCCAGGCAGACGCTCCGGGCTCCAGGCGGTGGCGGCCACAGCAGGTGATGCGGATGATTGATTTGAAAGGAATGGCGAAATCCCATTTCATCTCGTTCTAAATTGAGTTTCCTCTTGAATGGGCTTGACCGGGAGACATAGGCGAGGACACCATTCTTGGTCGATCCATTGGCTTTTCGTATCGTTTGCTTTGTCTTTGATTCTTAGAGGAATGGAAAAACATTTCTCTAAATTATTTGTGGAACTCATGCCATTTCAGTAAAATCAGGCTTGCAAGTGTTTTATTCAAAACCATTTTGCTGGGGCATTTGGGAGACATAATTTGAAAGTAGGTTTTGTGTGTGTGTGTGTGTGTGTTTGTGGTGGTTTTTTTTTTTTTTTTTCATGGTTGTGAAGACACTTTCACAGCAGTGACTATGTTTGTGGACACCTGCTGAGATGGTGCCTAGCTTCTGAGATGCTGTGTCTGTTTGGGCCTGTGCTCAGCCTGGTCTGTGAGCCGTGTCACGCCTTCATTCACACCCTGCAAAGGCAGCCAGGAAGTGGAATCTGTCATGACGGCCCAGAGCCTAGACTCCAGAGGCAGGGCCCCTTACATTGCAAGCCTGACTCCCCGAGCCCCGGCCTCGGAGGCTCCATTGGATCATCACAGCGACAGCTGCATGGAAGTCGCACCCCTGGTTCATGGATGTTCCCATATAACTGGCAGGAGAGCCTGCTGTGTCCCCTCCTGTGTACACAGGCTGTGTCTCCTATAATGGAGCATCTGAGGAATGAATGCACCTTACTTTTTCCTGCCTTGCACAGCATGGTCCACAGAGCAAAGTTCATGATGAACTAGGATGCACTGGGCTGGACCATGGCTGATGCAGCATCAATGTTCTACACGCCTTGCCCTGGCCAGGATCTTAGGGTGTCAACTCGGTTCACCTGTGAAGAGCCCATCCCCCTGGCAAGGGGCCACTTGGTGATGAGACCTGAGCCTGGTCTGCAGAAGGGCAGGATCCTAGGCAGCCGGCGGTGGCACCGCCTCCCCAGCACTTGCATGTTAATACCCCAGATGAAATAAGCTGAATGGCGCCTCCTTGCTCTCTTGGTGGCCCTTCCCAACATGCTGACGCACCCAAAATGCCCGCAGGCAAATCCAGCACCAGAAACATGGGGAACACAAGACATCTTTACGAAAGGATTTTTTTTTCCGCCCATACATGCTCTTTGCAAACACTGAAATACCTAAAAGGAACTTTTGTTCTCATGTGTGTGCGTCTGTGCTTTGACTAGTTTCTGAGTTTCTGTTTTCAGTGTCCTTTGTGATTTGTGGGGGAGATTCCCATCTTCCCCCATCCCCTCCAGGCTGCCTCCCCAGCTGGTCACCCCCACGAACCTCAGCCTCCAGGGCAAGAGCGTGCAAGGCAGGGCTGCCTGCAGCGAACGAGGCTTCACCCTGGGAGCCTCCCTTGCAGGCTCCTGTGCACGGGGCTGTGGAAGGTTTTCTGCAGGTGGGTTTGTTGCCTCCAGGTCGCACGTAGTTGCAGAAAAAGTTCTCAGGACTCAGAGCACTCAGAAGAGTTCTCCTAGTCTCTCGTAACTTGTAGTAATTCATTTTTTAAATTAAAAAATTATATTCAAAATCTTTAGAGTGGGCGTCTCACTGTTGCCGAGGCTGGAGTGTAGTGGTGTGGTCACAACTCACTGTAACTTCGAACTTCTCGGCTCATGGGATCCTCCTGTCTCAGCCCCTAAGTGGCTGGGACGACAGGTAGATGTCACCAGGCCTGGCTAATCTAATTTTTTTTTTTTTTTTTTTGTGGAGACAGGGGTCTTGTTCTGTTGCCCAGGCTGATCTTGAACTCTTGGCCTCAAGTGATCCTCCCACTTTGGCCTCCCAAGGTGTTGGGATCACAGGCGTGAGCCACTACACCTGGTGTGATTTATTTTCGTTGTATTAAATCACTATTTACTACTATGGCTTTTGTAGTTTTGTACACGAATTCTGCATTTTTTCTTTTTTTTTAAATTTCATTTTACTACATCAAGTCTAAGAATCATTTTTTCTTTCAAATCCTGGAAATTCCCAGCTCCAAACCACCTGCACTAGCTCCTAGCGTCAGAAATGTGGGAGCCCAAGTAAAGATGCACCCCTGTTTCTTCCTTTCTCCTTTTTTTATTTGAGACAAATAGCTAAACTGAGCAGTGCCAGATCCCAGACAGTGTCTCAGGTGAGAAGCCTCACCATGACTTTATGCTTTGACTTGTACAGGTCACTCACAATTGGACGGTGTATTTAAATCCGAGGAGAAGTGAGCGCGCGGTGATGAGCAGGACCTTTGAGGTACTGAGCAGGTGGGTTCTCAGCGAGTGAGGACTTGGGGCAGGCTGTCTGGGACACACTTGTTTAAAGGAGTCTAACCTGCAGGACGCTGAATTTCAGCCCACAAAGCACCAGGTCAGCATGTGACTTGGACACGGAGTTCATGCTATGTAGACAGTGAGCTCAAAGGCTGTGGGAGGGCATCGTAGCCATGGGTGTCAGGATGTAAGAGGGTTGACTGCTGAAGCCACTTTGAAACAAATGCTATTTTTGGTTGATGTTCTAATTTCGTTAATATCAAGAAGCTGTACAATGGAGAATTCTAGGAAATTTAGGGTTCTTCTTCCTTAATGAATGCCATTTTATGTTCAGTCTGTACTTCTGGTTGCTGTATTGGATGGCTAAGGCTGCCATATGGAAGCACCACACACTGGGTGGCTGAAATGTTATTGCTTGCTTGTAATTCGGTTCCAGAGGCTGGACGTCCTAGGTCAAGGTGTCGACAGGCCTCTTGCCTGGCTTACAGGTGGCCGTCCCTCTGTGCGTGCCTGTCTTCTGACCTCTCCCTGTTTGGACACCGGTCCTCCTGGATTAGGAGTTATCCCCATAACCTCATTTAAACTTCCTCACCTCATTAAAGACTCCACCTCTACCTACAGTCCCATTTGGAGGTACTCAGGGTTAGGACTTCAACAGAGAAATTGTTTTTGGAGGAACGGGACATAATTCAGGCCATAAAATGTATTGATTGGACTTTAAAAAATGCTGCAATGCCAGCCACAGACCTGTGGTCACTTGCAGGCCTCTTGTCTGTAGTGCGTTTCCCACTCTCAGGGCTTGGAGTTCAAACAGCTGGCTTTGCTCTCAGCAGGTAACGTGGTTGGGCATGGTGGAGAGGAGGAAGAGGCAGGTCAGAGGCTGGCGTCTTCTGTGCAGGCTCCTGCCCACTGTTCATTGTCAGTGATGCCACAGGAGGCTAAGGGGCCTGCTTGGACTGGCTGGGCATGGCCACAGGGAAGCTGTGTTCTGTGTCTCTCACCATGAGCCTGTGCTCATGGCTCTTCCAGCTGTGCGGTCAGGCATTGGGCTGAATCGTGCAGAGGTCCACTTGGACCCTGATGAATGCCATGGCTGTTGACCTGGATTTGTTCCCCTTGTGAACTGTAAGGTCGTTGCTTTGTTCTGCAGAGAGCCGGTGTCCATCAGCATCCGGGCCTCTCTCCAGCAGACCCAGGCTGTGCCTCTCTTGATGGCTTATCAGTACCTCCCTGCAAGTGTGGAAGCCCAAGTGACCATTGCAACGGCCATCCTCGCGGGCGTCTATGTGCTGATCATATTTGAGGTAACTTTCATGCCTGCTCCCCTGATCCGTCTGGCCCACAGTCAGGGAGGATTGAGACCTGTGAGACGCTCTGGACGGGCTCCGTCCTGGCTCCTGAATCAGATTGCACGAGCATAATCATCCCTGAAGATGGGCGGGTTCTTCTCTCTAGGTAGAAAGGGAACCATACAGGAATAGTTGGTGAATCTTGACGACTGATGTGAGCAGGATGGGTTTTGGGAGCAGAAGTGTATCTGAGAAAATAGAATGCATTTACAGTGTTCTGCTCTTCTCTTTGCTGCTCACTCCAAGTGTGACCTTGAAGGAAGCCGGAGTCTGCCTCTGTGTGCTGGATGCGCTCATTCACGCCCACCTGCACCTTGTGACCCTGTGTGTGAGGGACACAGATGCCCAGGGCTGTGTGCTTGGAGGGGTTATCTGTTGTGTCTACAGGCTCCTGTGCATTTCCATCTGTGATCTTAAGTCTGGTCAATTTGATGTTTCTCGGAAGTTGTAAGTGTGGCTATGCCTTCAATAGCATGAAGCAACGTGCAAACCCTTCCTGCACTGGGCAGGTCCATTGTTGATTTAACTATGAAACCAAACTTCTCCACAACACAGACAGGAGCCTGGAAGGTTGGTGCATGATGTGACTGTTAGAGGCGTGTCCCAGTGAGCTTGGGACAGGTCTGAGAAATATACCTGGGGATGTTGAGGAGATGGCAGGGTGGAGGAGTGGCCAGGAAAGCTCCAGAACTTTGCCCGCAGTTGTTGAATCCACCTGCTGAGGAATCATGACCCAGTAAGTTGAGCCCTCAACTGTCTAACAAGGGCCATTCACAGGATTGTTATTTCTTATGGCTCTTATGTTCTAGAACAGTTTTTCCCCCATTTTCTATTAAATCAATATTATTGTTGTTTGACGGTTCCCATGACAACTCTGTGGTTTGCTACAGGAACTTGCAGACTCAGGCAGCTGTCCTCTGCGCTGTGGCTTATTGCCATGCTGGGCAGCGGAAACCTGCTGAGCCTGGACCAAGCCAGGAGTAGGCTTCTTAGAGGCCTTCTCTCCCAGGAGGGCCCACACAGAGCGCGTGCCTCCCTCCAGCAGATAGAGACAGACATGTGCAGTGTTTCTGTCTGGGGCAGCCTGTTGGAGATTGAGTTTGGTCAGGTCCGGTTAGATAGTTGCCCTCAGCCTACCAAGATCACAACTCCTGGAAGGCAAACAGGTGCACACTGTTTGTATATCACATTGTATACAGCCTGGGCCCGCAGGTACGGCGGACCACATCACATTGTATATACAGCCTTGGCCCGCAGGTACGGCGGACCGCATCACAGTGTATATACAGCCTGGGCACGCAGGTACGGCGGGACGCATCACATTGTATACAGCCTGGGCATGCAGGTTTAGCAGAACACACTGCCCTGGGCCCACAAGACAGCCTTCTCCTGGGTAACGAGGGAACAGTCCTGAAGCTGAGTACCCAGAAGCCAGCCAGGGGCCCTTCTAAAGGTGGCATCCTCAGGCCAGGTGAAGTCTTTACTGCATCACCATCTAGTTGACAAATCCTATTCTGTTGTTCTGCAGAATACTGTATACCCTGGATTCAGCTGCTGAATTAGAGGCTCTGTCCTGTTTCCTACAGACTGTAACTGAGATCCGAAGCTTCAGGTTCCACTTTGGGGCACCCGTGTTTCACAGGTGTGCAGGGGTCTGGACTGCTTCCAGGAGGAGGACCCTGTGTCTGGATGTCCTGCTTTCAGGGGTGCAGAGAATGCCTGGGGAGTTGCGGTAGTGGAGAAAGGTGCCCAGCTCCCTTCCACCTCTTTTAATAGCTTTAATACCCACTGGGGCCCACTGCCTGTCTAAGATAAATCCTTATTCTGTAATGATCCACTGTCATAGTAATGAGCTGTTGCCTTAGTAACTTCCAGTGGTGTCCACTGAGTTTATTTAGTTCCTCGCTTCCTTTTTTTACTACTATTTGGTAATTATAGATTCAATAAATTCATTGTGCTTTCATTAGTTACAGTCATTATTAATTAAAAAAATACAATGCCAATTATTTTTAATGGGCTTCTCTGTTCTGGGTTTTTTTCACCTTTTTGGTAAAATTGTTCAACTTTCAAAAATTACGTAATTTGCAAAACTTTCTTAATTTTCATTAATTAATGGTCGTTATTAGTCATTTAGAAAAAACCTCCCCTTCTCTACCAAAAGACATCTCTAGATTTTGAAAGTCCTGTAAAGAGGCCAGTTTGACGTGGTTTCTACCCTTGCAGAAACAAAAAGCAGAGGCCACAGCACAGAAACCAGCCACACACAGAAGGGAACGTGGCGGGGTCTCAGGAAGTGTGGCA